AAAAACAGCCTTAATCCCGAGCAGACTCCAGGAATCCATGTTTTTATCCAGTCACACTGGATTCAATTAGACTCTGAGCATTTAAAGTACTTAATTTACCAAATATATAACAGAAAAGCTGTAAAATAAGTGTTTTTTTCTCTTTTAGTCTCCCAAAACAAGTACTAGTTGCCTCTTTTTTTAGCTCATACCTCCCCTGGGGAGAAAGCGGCCCCGCTCCCATTCTGGAGGGACGGCGTCCACTGGGCAGAGATGCTCACTTTCACGTTGCTGAACGTCTTCCTGGACGCGTGGAGCAGCACATAGCTGGAGAAAGACAAAGGAGGGAAAGGGAAAAAGCTTTTTCTGAAAAGCATCCGCCAAATCTGACCCTTCTGGGGGGAGATGGTACAGGTTTTATTTGCTAACATAAGAGAAAACAGATTCTAACTTTAGAAAATGGCTTCACGGTAATTTCTTTTTTACGCATGTGCGAAACGCTGTTGGAAATAATTATTGATAGTTCACGCTTAGCAATGTTTACCCTGAGATAAACCTGTCCAAAGACCTTTAACCTGTTTTAACAGCTTGAATCCATCAAAGTGTTTCGGCAAAGGCCGTCTTCACCAGCCTGCTGGAGCTCATTTCATTTAAAAATAAAGCCAAGTTTAGCCCCGGTGAGGTTTCCGGTTACCCAGATTACCTAAAGAAGGTGAGGAGGAAGACAACCAGGTGATGGTGGGTGTACTGTGACAGGTAGCCACAGCGGGGGGGAGGCATCACAGGGGTGAGAGGAGGCACGGGAGGAGGAGGAAGGAGGAGGTGCGGGCCTTCGAGGATTAGGGAGGGGATGGAGGGTTCAGCTACAGTCGCATCTCTACGGCAAGAAAGCTGCGCCTGCAGAGGGAGGAAGCTGCTGTTATATCCAACTATGCCGACATGGGTAATAAGCCCAGAAAACCAGCGACTCCATTGGCCGAGCTGTTTGCTTGTAAATAGTCATGAAAGCTGAGAAAGAACACACACACCTGGAGTGAAAGCTGCCTTGTGCGTGGTCTGGAGCAGATCTCAATGAGCCCAGTGTTCGCTAACTGGAGTAGAAAGTCTTCCCACCTCCCCCACCAGCCGTCCACAGGAACACTGACTCGTTTCAGGTCGCTTCTGCCAAACACACGATGCAGTTTTGACTTTTATCCGCCCTGGTACTTCAGTTACGCCCAGCACTGGCACTGAAACCCACAAGGAGGCATTCTTATGGGCTGGATGGCACAGAAAGTCGCTTCTCTGGGCCCTAGGCTTTTGTTGTATTGGTAAAAGGAATAGATTACATTGTTTTTATGTTTTAAATGCAAAGAACCAACTGATTAATATCATCAAAAGTAGCTTTCCAGTTTGTAAAGTGATGTGAAAGTCCATGATCAGCAGCTCTCTTCCCACATGCATGGTTTTTCACATGACACACTGTTATCAAGTTAAAAAATGTGCCTTTGATAAACCTAGAGAACACAGATTATTTCTGTAAACAGAAACTGGACGTCCACTTTTAGGAATAACAGCTTTTGTCTCCACTATAAGGAGCTTTGTCCTGTTCTGTTGTTTGTAATTAAAGCAATTTAGCTTATTGGTTGATAGGTTATATATGCTGTAGTTAAGTTTTAACACCCTAATTACGTTTGAGTGCATTAAAATCATCATTAATTTCGAATTTAGCTTATCATAACTGTGACATATGGCACATTGACATCAGCCAGATGCTCACACAGTCTTGTCGAGAGCTTCTACTGGTGTAAACCCGCTCAGTTTCCTTAGAAAATAGTTCAACACAAGTAAGTGAAGATATAAAGTAAAAAAAACAGGGAGGCTCACCTCTCCGCGCGAGGCTCTGATGGCTAGCTTGCTCTTGTTTGTGTTTACTATTTACTCTGCGTTTCTGCTCTGTGCCGTTTCGCTTTCGCAGCACCCCCCCGCCGCCCCCTGCCGGCCGGGAGTGGAACTGCAGGAGAAAAAAAAAAAA